ATAATTACTCATAACCATCTAAGGTATTCCAAGAGACTAGTGTTATGGCACTCACATCTTTTCCTAAATTCCAATGAGTGAGGGTTCAATTCTCTCAAGACTCCTTCCTCCTAGAGTTTCACCTCCAATCAATCTTCTCCGTGGAAAATCAAACATAGAAGTGTTAATAACAATGGAAATAATCCATCACTCAATTCCAAAATCTAGCCCCTTATGTCTTTCATCATGAAATTCTAAGGAATTGATTAACTCTTACCTTAATTCATCAAGAGAAAGAGAAAAAAAATTATGTTCTTGCTTGTCGAACAAGGGTGCATATAAGAGATAAAAGGGAAGAGAGAGGCAGCTAAGGAGAAGAGAGGCGAAAGAAAGTGATATTAGAGTTTCCTTTTCCCTTTTTTTTTCTTTTTAAATGCTAACCCTAGTAAAGACAATTTTGCCCCTTCTCTTTTCACCAACTAATAACTTTGAGCCCTATATTTTAGTATATTTACACTTTTACCTCAAAAAATTTAGTATTTATATTTTTGCTCCAAATTATGTTTGAATAAAAAATTTAATTTCTGCCTAACTTAGCCTTCAATTACCTTATTAAATAAAATTTGCATGAGTTATTATATGGGTATAGTCAAATATAATTACTTTTTTCTTCATTTCCTTTATAATAAAATCTTTTCATTTTTATAAAAATGTATTAGGAGAAATAATATTTCCTTTATAATTGTCTATTTTTATTTGACATGTCATGATAATATAATAATATTAAGACAGTGAGATATTAATTTTTGATCATTTTAATGTAATTTTTAACACAAAATATTAAAATAAAAAAAACTTAAAAAAGTATCATAATAATGCATTAAGATGTATATTGAGAGGTATGCATTGCATATTGATTAGGTGCGTATTTGTACATTGAGCAAATCAACACCGGCAACAAGTCACTCACTCACTTCATGCATAACCAAAAAAAGAATTAATTACGATTAAATCATAGAAAATTAAGAGAATGTTTGACATATTTTTTTAAGTTAAAAACTACTTTTAAGTTAAAGTTAAAAAAAAGCTTAAAAAGTAAAGCTAAAGTTATTTGGTGCAGTGTTTTAAGACCTGACTCGGACCGACCGGGTCAACCGGGGACTCGGTGACCCGATGGGTTTCCCGGTCCGAGCGGGTAGTTGGACCGCTTCTGCAGTCAACTCGGATTGGACCGGTTGACCCGGCCGAAACCCGGCGACCCGGGTTAGATCGGTTATTCCTTTTTTTGGTAAAAAAAATTTTGTTGAGAAGAACTCTTGAATTAAATCATAGTCATATTTTATGATGAATATGATTAAAAGTAAGGTGAAAATAATAAGGTATTTTAGATTAGTGCAGTTCGTTTATGTAATTTAGTTGCATCTTATTATGATCTCATGAAGTTAAGTGGTGATAAACACTGATGGTCTCATTATCTCATCTCAACAGTGGACACTTTTTTTTAGTGTATATTTCATGCATACTATTTGTTATCATGATAACGGTGACACTTTTTTGTTAGTGTATATTTCATGCATACTATTTGTTATCATGATTTAATTTATCCGTATCATGTCAAGCACAAAAGGTGCATTTAACTTATATTGCAATTTTAATCCAATATTAGGACATGGTCTAGAGCTAGAAGCTTAGAAGTATATAATATTTGCTATCATTGAAAATCAATTTATTTTTTGAAGCTCATTGATAGTTTTCTTATGTGAATTTTTATTAATATAAGTAATATTTTTATATTTTTAATATGTGAACAGAAAATTTGGTTCAGCCCAGTTGAACGCGGTTGAACCAGTGACCCAGTACCTCGACCGGTTCGATGACCGGTCCGAGTTTTAAAACACTGATTTGGTGACTATGTAAAACTATTCTAAAGGTTTTGAAGGAAGAAAGATAAAATGAATTCTTATTAGGATGGATTATTAGAGTAAATAGTAAAAGGAAAAAATATTTTTGCTTTTTCTGCAGAAAATATTTCTCTGTCATACTCATATAAAAGTAAGTATGTCCCGTTGTAAAGAGAAGAGAGAGAAAATCTAGTGAGACCCACTCACTTTTATGTGAGTGTGGCAAGTAAATATTTTTTACAGCAAAAACAGAAATGTTAAACCCATAGTAAAATTGGAATATAAATTGATTTTAAGGATAAAACTAAAAAATAAATATGAAAACTCTAAAAAGCTATCATATATCTTAAAAAAAGCTCTTATCCGAAGTTCTTAGCTTTTATTTATTATAAAAAGCTCTTTTATAATAAGAGCTTTTATAAAAATATATTTGATTAAGAAGATAAAAATAAGACTTCCCAAACAACCTCCACACAGAGCGAAAAAAATTAGAATATAATTAGCTTAATTGTGCGTTTAATAAAGTTTATTTAGCTTATTTATTTTTAATTTTTGCATGTGATTGTTACAATTTTGAGATCACTATTCTAAAAGCTAGCTCAAAAGGTGAGAGTGTCTAAGGCCTTATATTGACGGTTTCACTCACCTATCAGAATTTAATACAACAACGGACCTTGAGGTTATCACCCTAAAAGTTAGCTTAGAGAATGAAAGTGCCCAAGGCCTTATAAACCCCACATTAGTTGCTTATACAACCAATGCGGGACTCGTATTACGAATCAATATTACCAACTTGGAGATGAATTCACCGGTTTCTGTGTTAAATCGGCCGATCTAAGCCGATTTTAATTACATTTGTTATCAGTTCAAAAAGTTACGGATTCTACCACTTAAATCAAATAATGTAATAAAATATAATAAATTAAAACTAAAAACATTATATCCAATAAATAAAGTTGATTTAATGGTAAATGGTAGAAGTTACAATCCACACGGTATATAAATTTTCACGCATTAGAAGGTTACTAGAGAGAAAAGAGAGAGAAAGAAATTAGAATAAAATTAGCTTAATTATGTGTTTAATAAAGTTTATTTAGCTTTTTTTTTTAATTTATGCATGTGATTGTTACGGACCTTGAGATCACCCCTCAAAAGGTAGCTCAAAGAGTGAAAACCGGAATGCTCTAGGCCTTCACACATTAGAAGGTTACTAGAGAAAGTAAAGAGAAATAAATTAGAATATAATTAGCTTAGTTGTGTGTTTAATAAAGTTTATATAGCTTATTTATTTTTAATTTTGGCATGTGATTGTAACGGATTTTGAGATTGCCACCCTAAACTTATTTATTTTTAATTTTTGCATGTGATTGTTACGAATTTTGAGATTGCCACCCGAAAAAGCTAGCCCAAGAGTGTTTGCGGTCTGGATTGTATCAGTTTTGAAGTAAAAAATAATTTGATCCAATCCCATCGGTTTGGGTTTTTTTCCAAATCCGATCTAATTCAATACAGCTTTATTCGGTTTAGATTAAATCGATTTTTGATTTTTTGAAAAGCCTAAAAATAGAATTTTTGAGAATTATTTTTACCAAAATGAGGAAGTATTATTTATCATGGATATTTTGTAATGTAATTGTACCAGCAGAAAATTTTGGCAATACCGGATAGCTAGAGAAAATAAGACTCTCCTTACAATTGACTTGACTCTAGGCCATCCGTTTTTAATTTGTTATGTCGAAGTAGAATCAAGTAAGATAGAAAGAATAGTGGAGGGAAAAACCCAACCTTTAATCACAATCAACAATGTTATTTGTTGCCATTAACAATTCACCGATCAATAATCAGATACTTCAAAATTCAAAGTTGGCCACCTCAGTTAATGAAATACAACATGTTCAACAAATTGAGATACTTGGCAATACCATGCCATTGTTTGTTGTTCCCATTCACCACCCAACTTCAGCTAACAATCAACTATTTGATAACATGGTGCCAATGTCCCTTACTGCCATTAACAATTATACAACTTTACCAAATTCAGGTAACTAAAATTTTCCTTATTATTTAATGGGACAGGATCCGTTTACAAATTTTTTTGAATTTTTTTGCAATTTATATTGTATTCTCCCGGGAGAATATAGTGTAGTTTGTAAAAGTTTGTATTCTCCCGGAAGAATATAGTATAGTTTGTAAACAAAAAAATTTGTAAATATAACTGCCCCTTATTTACTTTCAAAAAAAAAATTCCCTTATTTGACAATATTATGTATTCATCTCGATACTTCAGTGGTGGTGGAAAGAAAATATTGTGATACTTGATGGGTTATTGGTTAGAACTTTGGGTTCAAGTTTTCTTATCTGGTAGGATAGTAGGAGAGAAAAAAAGTAGAGACAAGTCAAATATGGGTCTCATATTTTATATTAAAAAATAAAAGAAAAATTAATTAGCACAGAAAACGAATTTATGTAGGAAAATTTTTTACTCTCCTGTAGCATGAGAGTATTATTTTCGTAGAACTTTTTATATAGTTGTTGGACTATAATTTGGGAACAAGCCCAAGTGTAGGTAGAAAAGCCCAAGTGTAGGTAGAAAGTATTAATATATTGGATCTGTTTGGATTAAATCAACTCTTACAAATCAAATCAAAAATCGATTCAATTTAATTAAAATTTACTATTTTTTTTTTTTTTTCAATTTTTTCACATCAATATCCAAGGCCTTATTCACATGTCAACAACATACCTTGAATTCATCACCCAAAAACTAGTTCAAAAAATAAAAGTATTTAAGTTCTTATAAATCCTTCATTAATTGTCTATACAACCGATAGAACATTACGAGGCTTATATCATTTCACTCTCACAAAGAGGTGGAACCCACACCTTTATTTTTTTTGTCAACTCTCTCTCCTCTTTTATCTATCTCTTTCTCTCTCTTCAAATGACACAATTTCACCTCATTTAAAATAACACACACTTTACCCATATATGAATGTAATGTAAATCTTATTACAAAAAAAAAAAAAAAAATGTAATGTAAATCTCATTCATTCATACCCATTAAAATAAAACCTTGTTTTTGTACGAACGACTTTGTTTTCACAACAATAACAGTGTAACTGAGCTTCGTTCTTCCCAACCATGTATCCAGCTGAAAGAGTTGCCCTAGTATTCCCCAGAAACGCTAATATGATCCCCACTTACATTGTCTAGATCCGTAACAAATTATAGTAATCTGAGGCAATTCTTCCCAGGTACATCCATCCGTTCACAATAACATGTGGCAAATGGCAATGCAATGTTTGGTTTCTTTTGTAAATTTTGTCTTTTTTAAGGAAAAATATGAACGGGGTTTTCATGGAGGTTGGTTTCTATAATGTGGGGTTCGGGAATTTGCATCACTTGTACGTTTGGTTTTGGGTGTAAATTTTTGTTTGTTTGGGGAAAAGTATGATATGGGTTTTAATGAAGGTGAGTTTATGTATTTTGGGTATTGGGAGTTTGCATCAATTATATATTTGGTTTAGTGTATAATTTTTTTTTTCTTAATAACAAAAATAAGAGAATGTTATATTTACAAATTTTTTGTTTACAAATTCTTATATGTATGACCGGTCATACACTAATCAAGGTTTAGTTTGATTAGTGTATAACGGGTCATACTTAATGTAATTTGTAAACGGATCCGACAAATATGAACTGGGTTTTCATCATTCTCTCACCAAACTATGCTTTCTCATCATATAGTCGTGATCCATTTGTTTGTTCTGTAGCTTGTCTAGCAATATGTGGTTTTATGTAGTACATTGAAAATTAAACTTAAAGACCTGTAGTGGCAAGGTTTGTGTTTCTCGTTTTACCTTGATTTTGCAAATTATAAAATGATACCTTGTTTTCTCTATTTGTTCCAATATTTGCTTATGCTTGTTCTTGTTGGACTAAAATACAAGTCTCTCTGTTCAGGCATGAGGCAGCATTGGTTGAAGTGTTCCACACCCCAAAATCGGAGATACAATGAAAATAAGGTATGACAATTTAGAAATATGTTTCTAGATATTGCCTGTTTCTTCAAAGGGATGGACGTAGATGAAGAATAGATATATTAGAAAACTGTCCTCATCATCCAAAAATTGGAACGGACGTTTGATTGAAAGATCTTTGGTAACTCTAGATTGGATGAACAATAAATTGGAGATGCATGATTTGCTTCAAGAAATGGGCAGGGATGTTGTATTTCAAGAATCTCTACGTAATCCTGGCCGGCATAGTAGGTTATGGTCCCAAAAGGACATTGATCATATGTTTCCAAAAAATAAGGTAGGTGCTTTTCTTTGACTATTGGATGGTTGGTGTTAGATAAATAAATGTGGCATTATGATACAAAATGAATTACACATGTAATGTCTCTTCTTCTTTTTTCCTTTAAGTTTGTTTTTCAGCTCATTCTGAAAGATTACATTATTTGCTATTCTGGTTTTCCAGGAACTGATGAAATTCAAGGAATAGTTCTGAAATTAGTTCCACCAAATGAAGCATGCTGGAGCACTGAAGCCTTCTCCGCGATAAGTCAGGTAGGATAACTCAAGCTATGTGACATACAACTTCCTAGTGCACAAAAAGTTATTGAAGATTATGTTAGATAGGATACGAAGATAACAAACTTTATAGGATAAGTTTAAATTTGTATTATAGTTGCTTATGAGATAACAAACTCTAGATAGGATAAGTTTGTTTTCTGTTTTTATTCTTTATCATTTTGTAGCTACGTTAGTTTGTGTATTGCGTATATAAGGAAGCTTTTGGCGATTAATCAAATTAGCCAAGTTTCATAACATATTTTCATATTCACTGGAGAGGATGTGTTTTGAAAACCCTGCCACTTTCTAATCAAGTGAATGAAGTTGTTGACCTCAAATTGTATCATAGCAAAATTGAACGACTTTAGCATGTGACAAAGGTAAAGACCATTTATCAAGATCTTTTTCCAGGTTATGTTTTTTTCATTATCATAACAACTTTGAAAGCTAATTACTTTTTTTCGCAGTAGTAATTTTGATCAGTTTCTGAAAAAACTGAAGTCCATTGGTTTGATTTTTTCCAAGAGCCTATTGCCTAAAGCCATCCCCTGACTTTGTTGGGGTTCCAAATCTTGAACCATTGGTTCTTGAAGGTTGTCAAGCGTAATTGAGGTTCATGCACACTGGCTTCCCCAAAACTGTATTTGTGTGTGTGTGTGTGAGAGAGAGAGAGAGAGAGAGAGAAAATCACCCATTCTTGTTACACTATATTACAATTGTGTTACAGGGACTGTCTCCCCAAAGCAAGATTTGACATGTTTAACACGGAGTGAAATTACATTATGTTTTGTCCCTCAAAAATGTGATTCCTTTGCAAAAATATCAGTCCCTCATAATTTCCCTCTAATTGAATGGATGAAATTTGCTTTGTGTTTTCTGTTAGTAACTTAATGGTAAGATGTTTATCAGCTCCAGGAATCTACCTCCTCGTTACCTCCACCCACACTCGCTAGTCGGGTTTAGCAGGGAATGTTTTTTTTTTTTAAGTCATGCTGACTCACCTAAGGTGTGCGTGCCATCATGAAGTCGATTGTTACTTTTTTGGACCTAATGGTAAGATGTTTATCAGCTCCAGGAATCTACCTCCTCATTACCCTCACACTTATATTCTCTATTTGTCCATTAAGGAATACCGTGGCAGAATGTATGAAAGTGTTGACGTCAGTGAAATTGAATTTGTATTGAAAAGTTATTGCTGTCATTCATTGCAAATAGTTAGGAGTGGGTGCCAAGATGTTGAGCATATTTATGGAAATCATTTCTTGGCTTTGTCATAACACCTTTAGGCTTCATTTGATGCATTTTGAGGGACAGAACAAGTGGTTGAGTCACATGACAATCTTTTTGTGTTATTTTCTGTTTGATAATTAATGCACATAAGAAAATTTTTGTGATATTCATGAATAAAATAATGTAAAATTTATTAGGACACACTTTGTGTTGTTTATTGTTTTGCACGTAATAGCGTTTTGGTAATAAAATGGTTGAGATTATTGGTCTTTTTCTCTTTTTGGGTTGTTTCCTGAATTACTTTTTGTCATTTACTTATACTATTTTATCAATTAAACAAAGTATATATTTGTTTTTTGTGCTTTGTTCTCAGTTTATTTTTTAACAAATCAAAAGAACCTTTAGTGTATGATAAATTTCTCCTTAACAATAGTATCATCCCTTCCAGTGAAGAGCTCGGAGCCGCCAATGACATTATGTGACTTGCATAGACATGGAATTACTTGTAAGCCTTTTTACCTGCCTAGGAAGTTCTTATTCTGCTTGTTTTTACTTAATTTTTGTTTGTCTTGTTGACTTGATTCAAACTTACTATAATCAAGATATTAAAGTAAACTCCTTTATTTATATTTTCATTCATAAAATATCTTGTTAGGCGCGATAAGAATAAAACAGGATAGAATTTGGAGGGTATATTTGAGGAGGAATAAATTGTAGTTAATTATTAGTTAGAAGATGGTATTTTGGCAGTTAGGTAGCTAAATTAGGGAAAAACACACTGTAGAGACTATCTTTTGAGAATTGATAAAAATGAGACATTCTCAGGGAAGGAAGGGGTTACTCCCTTGTAAAGACGATCATTCCTCTTGTAAATTTTTTCTTCCTTGAATGCAGTATACAATTCATTCTCTCATCTCTTCTAATCTGTTCTCAATACACTCTCATTCTTTGTCGATCTTTTACTTACTCAACTTGAGGGCCTAACATATATGCTAGAAATTAAGTCTCAATTATTGTTGACAAACCAAAAAAAAAAAATCACTCCCCATTAAACCCGACTAGCGAGTGTGTGTTGTAAATATTAGGTCTTTTATTATTATTAGTATTTGTTGTATTGGGCCAAGCCCATTAGGTCAAGAATTAGGGTTTTTGGTCTCTATAAATAGAGACCTCTTTGTATCATATTATTTCACAATTCTAAAATATATCATAATACCCTTTTTCAAGTTGGTATCAGAGCTCTCGATCCAGAGGGCTCTGCTTCCGCGCCTACGAAACCTTTCTATTCTTTTTCACGTCTCTCGCTGCCATCAGCCGCCACCGGAAATTTTTTTTCCGGGGACCTCTTGGACCGAGAAGACCATTGCTTCACTGTTCCTCTTTCTTTTTCTTGTCTATTACACAACCAGAAACAAACGTTCACAGAATCAACGTACAGAACCACCGTACAGAACCTGTTCATCGCGATTGTAACCTTTTTCCGGTGGATTCTTCACTCCGAACAGCCACAGAAACCATCGCGCTCGCCGGACGACCTTCGCCTGAAAAACCCAGCACCATCGGAGGTCAGACGCGCCTCCACGCGCCGCCCTTGTCTCTGCGCGTGAATCCCACGCACCGCCAGCTTCACCGGCGCGTGACAGCGCGTGACGGTGGTTCTCGGCCGCGGACCACCACGGTTCTGATCGTCTCTCCAAGCCGGTTCTGGATCTGTTCTCTCTACTTTGATCGGACATCGTTTGGTATTTTTTTCAGAATTTCTTGGCTTCTTGGAGTTTGTTCTTTCACCAATTTCTTGCTTCCGACCAGATCTGACGTTGTTTGGTATTTGTTCCGGTATTTGTTCCGGTCACTGTGTTACTGTTTCGGCCGCTGTGTTACTGTTCCGGTCAGATCTGACGTTGTTTAGTATTTGTTTGTGATTTTGTGGCTTCTTGGAGCTTTTCTTTGACCATTTGCTGTGCAGTATGGCCTCTTCTCAAAGGAGTTCTTTTTCAAAATTTTATGATGGTACCTCTTCTAGACCTAAGAGAAATGATCGATGGTGTTCTTATTGTAAAAGAACAGGTCATATCAAGGATTTATGCTTTCGCCTTTATGGAAAGCAAACTGTCTTAGAAAAGATGGCAAGGATGCGTGGTCAAGCGCATTTTACTTCTTCTGAAATAACCCCTGCACCTAATGAGACCCAATCTGCATTTCGTCCAGATGAGTTGGAACGACTCCGAACCATTCTTGATTATCTGAGTAAGCCATCTGATACTAGTGCTTTGGCTATGACTGGTATGAGCTCCAAAACTCATTCTTTCATTTCTTCATGTAATGATTTTAAACATTCTTGGGTTGTTGATTCTGGTGCTACTGATCATATGGCTTGTTGTGCTGACTCCTTTATTTCTTATCATCCTACCATTGGAACTCATACAATATCCATAGCTGATGGCTCACATACATCAGTTGCGGGTTCTGGTGACATAAACTTACAGCAGTCCTTACATCTTAAGGATGTTCTTCATGTTCCTAAACTCTCCACGAATCTTCTTTCTATTCACAAAATTACAAAAGATTTGAATTGTACTGTAACCTTCTTCCCTACCCATTGTGTTTTTCAGGATCTTGCCACAGGGAAGACGATTGGTAGTGCTAAAGAGCAAGGTGGGCTGTACTATCTGGTGTCACAATCTCCCGCAAATAAAGTAATAGATCACACATTCATGTCTCATGGTCAATCAACTGCTGATTCTTTAATTTGGCTGCATCATAAGCGTTTAGGTCATCCTCCATTTAGTTTACTCAAATCTTTATTCCCGTCATTGTTTTTGTCTAAGTCTGTTGAGTCTTTTCATTGTGATGTTTGTGAATTTGCTAAGCATCATCGTGTGTCTTTTCCTTCTAGTATTACTAAGAGTGTTGAACCTTTTGATCTTATTCATTCTGATGTTTGGGGTCCTTCTAAGGTCCCTCATTCTTCTGGAAATAAATGGTTTGTTTCTTTTATTGATGATTACACTCGTGTCACTTGGGTTTACTTAATGCGTGAAAAGTCTGAGGTACCACAACTGTTCTTTCAATTTTATAAAATGATTGAGACTCAATTTTGTAAAATATCAAAAGACTAAGGACAGATAATGGTACTGAATATGTCAATCACTCTTTTTCCCAATTTATACAAAATCAAGGTATGATTCATGAACTTACTTGTGTAGACACCCCTCAACAAAATGGGGTTGCTGAAAGGAAAAATCGTCACCTTCTTGAAGTTGCTCGTGCCTTACTATTTCAAACACATGTACCCAAATGCTATTGGGGAGATGCCATTCTTACTGCAGCGTTCTTGATCAATCGTCTACCCACTCGGGTTCTCGATCATGTAAGTCTTATTCACTCCATGACTTCTTTTTTTCCTTCTGTTCCAACTTTGCAAAGTCTTCCTCCTCGAGTGTTTGGGTGTGTTGTCTTTGTTCATATTCATAAACAGCATCGCAGTAAGTTGGATCCTAGGGCTCTTAAATGTGTCTTCCTTGGTTATGCTCCTGATAAGAAGGGCTACAAGTGTTATCACCCTGGAAGTCGGAAATTTTTTGTTTCTATGGATGTTACATTTCAGGAATCTGAGTCCTTTTTCCAAGGTCCTCATCTTCAGGGGGAGAATAATTCACCAGAAGACTCATCACCTTCCTTCTTTGAATCTTCAGTGTCTACTTCTTCACCTGTGTCAGTGTCTCTTCCTCTTGTTCCTGTTCCTAATGTGTCTATGTCTGATCCTCCTGTGACTGATCCTCCTATGACTGATACATCAAATACACCAGAGATACGGAAGATTGTGACACCTGAATTGGTATATCAAAGAAGGAAACAGCCCACATTGCCTCAACAGCAACCTCAATCGTCTGAACCACTGGTAAGTCCTGAATCTCATATTTCTGATCATGATGTTAATACGTCTGATGACTTACCCATTACTACTGTTTC